GGTCCACAACAACAGTTTAACTGTCTAATTGTGTCCTTTACTGCTTGTTTCACTTCCCTGATTTTCTAGCAGTAAAGAATGGGGTTCAGAGATGAGTTTAAGTAAAATAAGGAACGAAGAAAGAAAAAAACTGGACCTTCCCGAAACTCTCCAAAATACATCGAAGTCAAATGCACACCAAACGGCAAATAGCACACAAATAATCCAAGCTGTACCCATGCTATAGCAGAAACTGTTTTCTTGTATCGTGCTGCATTCCATTAAGTCGGTGAAACACCGTTGGGAGACAGTTGTTGGTGGTGAACATGGCCCTGTACATGAAGCAGTTGAGGCGGAGACGGAAAAAGATATTGGCGTAAACAATGACCGAGATAATAAGAGAAATAAGAATCAAAACAGCCTGTGCAAAAAACAAAACAAATAAAATGAGGTCGAATCCAACTAAAGCACCAACTAGAAGCCAAAGGAAGATAATGAGCGCTTGCACCCGCCTTAATGTAACAACCCGTTTGTATCTCAGACCCATCGACAGCGCGAGAAGTCTGTCCACACTTATTGCTGTTGATGTCAAGACGGAGATTCCACAAAGAAAAAAACTAGATACTTCTCGTATAAAATAAGTGATTTCAAAGAGTTTTTCGCTGAAGTACATTATTTCTTCGCGAAGAAGCGTCACTGTAAACAGTGGTTGTGTTATCTTTCCAACAAAAAGATCGGTGACTGCCAAACATCGAAACAAAAGTTTCGTTGGAGGATAAATCGAAGTCACTTTGTGTAGAGCAAGAAGGATTAGAAAGTTGCCCAATGACGCAGTCATAGACAAAACAACGTTCAAGAATGTAAATGCCATAGACATTCCAAATCTCCCACCTGACAGATGACCTACTTCAAATGAGAAGTTTGTATAGTCATCGGTTGTGTTGAGCATTTCTCTTACGGCAGCAGAGAATATTTTTGTCGGTAAGGGAGATGTTGACCACTGTAAATGTTCCTGCTGGTTGTAAGTCCAGTGTAATAAGTCCAATTTGTGTAAAGTGATTGGTTTATTTTGCCTGAGAAACTCAAGTAGCGTAAGTGGGTAGTGATTGGCTAGCTGCAATCCATCGGTAAAGTTTAGTCGTGTTGATCGGTTTGTTTGTTGTGTAAATGTCGTAAATAAGTCAATTTGTATGGCGCCTGTAGGTGCTCTTATGGGCTAAGCGTAATTGTAAATGGCTCTACATAACATCTGCTATTAGTCAAAATTTTGAATGGTTGCTCAGTTTATTTTTGAGATAACAAATAAATTTTTTTGGCAATTAATGCGACCCATTAGTAAGTTTAACTGATGAAACTTCTTCACCTGGTAAACATTTGGAAAATAAAACTGACGCCCGGTTCGTTTTATATCTTGTAGATTCAAATTAATTTGTTCTTTATAATCGGTGCTTCTCAGTGTAAGCAATTATTTATAAAAAATATTTTATGACGGAAAAAGCGTTAGAGGATAAATCGAGGTCATTTCGTGCGGAGCAAGAAGAATTAGAACGTTGCCCAAAAGAAAATAAAACTGACGCCCGCTTCATTTAATATCTTGCCAATTCAAATTAATTTGTT